ATATTTTTATATCTCAACAATATTTCTATATATATATATATATATATAAATAAAAAAAAACAGGGTGATGCAGGAATGTTGTGCAAATTCCCATGAGGGACAGTGTCTCGGTGATGGGGCATGTGCATTCTGTCTGTCTGTCTGTGTTTATTTGAACCAGTGCAGGTAATTTGAGTTCACAGCAGGAAAGCACATGTTGCTACTGCATGATCCTCCATAGCTCGGAGGGCACATGGAGCAAGGAACACCTACTTTATATGGGGCCTCACCAATCCAGTTCCCCCTGTAAACAACAATAGCAACAACAATGTCAATGACACACCAATGGACAAAATGAACCATATACATTTTCATATTCGAAAGTGTGCTGTATGAGTTGTTTGCTAGTTTGTAATGACATAAAAAATGCTATTACTAGACTTTACATTTCTATTTCCAACTGTGTTTTTATGTTGAGAAGACATGCTTTAAATCAATCTGGATCTACTTTAACTAGCAAGTCGGGTCTTAACTATAGTTTATAAATAACCTGCTCTGCAGTAGCCTAAGAATTTTCTCAAGTGCGCCGCTTCATAAGACTGAAAAAAGAAGGTCACAAGTCAGTCACCAGCCACACAAGATTCTGGTGCTTTGATTCTGGAATTAGATGCAGAATTCCGCTAATATTCCACTTGCAGCAGGAATGCATGTCTTCCACAGATGAAAGAAAGCCATACAAGTTTGCAACGACATGAGTGTAAAAATCACAGAATTTTCATTTTTGGGTGAACTAGCCCACTAGTTTGGGTGAACTTAAGTATGGCACTACAGACAATTTGCAATGTTAGTCTTGCCAACAAAGCCTGATGGGAGTTTTGGCAATTGTGCCTTGTGTTCTCTGAGTACAGTTACAGTTGAATACTGTAAGCACCAATCATGTCTTGACAGATCACAGTAGATTCCCTCTCAGGAAATAAACCATTGGGTTTATACACAAAACAATATAATTATCAATACGTGGTATAAACATTGAAAAATAAGTTATGTACATGTCTTGAAAAAAGAAGGTCACAAGTCAGTCACCAGCCACACAAGATTCTGGTGCTTTGATTCTGGAATTAGATGCAGAATTCCGCTAATATTCCACTTGCAGCAGGAATGCAAGGGGTCGTCTAGGTCTTTGAACCATAAGGCCCCATGGATGTCCACGTCAAAAATGTTTTTAACAGAGAAGTGTCAGGTTGCTTGCTTAGCCTAATTATGTTACTGAAGAGTGAGTTGAGCAGTTTAGCTTAGCTAAAGCACAAGAAAACATATACTTACTTTGGAGAATAGTTGCACACCAAGTATGTTGCCCTCTTCCATACTGAGCCCCAAACATTCATATTATGGCATGTGTTGATGGCACATCCTACTTTATTTGAGGTTGCCCACACCATCTGGTAAAAACATAAGCAACAAGTGAGCAACGGTCAAATGTGAATGATATTTACTACCGTTCAGAAGTCTCTTATGCTCACCAAGGTTGCATTTATTTGATCAAAAATACAATAAAAACAGCAATATTGTGAAAAATTATTATAATTCAAAATAACCATTTTCTATTTTAATATATTTTAAAAAGTAATTTATTCCGGAGATACAAAGCTGAATTTTCAGCAGCCATTACTCCAGACGTCAGTGTCCCATGATCCTTCAGAAATTATTCTAACAATCTGATTTGGTGCTCAACAAACACTTATCACACACACTTTCTTATTATCAATGTTGAAAACAGTTGTGCTGATTAATATTTTTGTAAAAATGGTGATATCTTTTTTTCCAGGATTCTTTGATGAAAAGAAAATTCAAAAGAACAGCATTTCTTTGAAATAGAAATCTACAGAGCCCCGCACATGGCATGCAGAAAAAAAATAATAATAGTAGGCTAAATCGTGTGCACGATTTACTATTTCGTTCCCTCGATCAGATTTACTCATTCGTTCTCTCGATTTATAAATCGTGCGTTTTAGTACATCAAGGGAACGAATTAGTAAATCGTGCGCAGGATTTATTTTTTCTTGCATGTCATGTGCGGGGCTCCGTAGAAATCTTTCAACTCACTTGTGTATAATGAGTGCACATAGGCCCGTAGCACTTAAGGGGACATCTGGGATTACAGTCTCGAGGATAGGGAAAAGAATAGTCCTTCACTTCATCATACCAGGGCTTTACCAGCTGCAAAATGGACCTGTATCTGTAAACAATCCAAACATAGCACCAAATCTCATTATGGTGTGATGAAATACTTAGATTGGTTATTCAGGCCTAAATGTCCATTAGTACAGTCAAACATAGGACTATAGGAAACATCACTGATCACAAACTGGAAAAGAATATGAAGATGCATACCTTCCTGTTCGGACTGAAAGGTTCTGACCCAGAAATCTAAGAAGACTGCGAGGACCATGCTCCCAAATACACGTGGACGCCCACTGCTCAGCCGTCTTTGCAAGAGTGTCATCCCAGACCTGAGACATGTAATACACTTTTATCAGTCCACTAAAATAAATTAATTTATTGATAGCATAATTGCAAAAATTGTTCATTTTACTTTTTTTTGAGAGCATGATGGGTTTCTTAACATTCTCACCCACAGAAATGAAATTATGTCCATAATAGGAAGATCAAAAAGCAAAGTTTCCCCAAACAATAACAGATTTTATTGATTCTTGAGTGAGTTAACCATAAACCATGGATATATGCATTGACAAAAATGTATTTTATGCTGGAAAACTTTGTTCTCTTCCCCAGAGTAGACCATTTAAAAATATTTATCCCTTTAATCTTGGTCAAATCAGAGAATTATTAAAGAAAAGCTAACATTTGGATCTATTGAAACATATCTGATACAGCATTTCCCATGACTGTGCACTTTTGGAAGTATTTCAGTGCTTAGCTGTAGTCTAAGCACAATGATCTATGCTGGAGAGGATCTACTCTGGTGGTCCGAGCCAATTAAATCTGCTCAACAGCTGCTGGTGCCAAATGGACACGGAGAAGTTTGTCATTCCTGCATCCTGTCATGAGCGCAGTTACATGTGCAACATTCACATGTCCAGCTACAACAGCAGCAATGCGCTTTCCAGGTAAAGTGCCAAGTAATTATACAATTAAATAAATAACACAACTGAACTGCTGTGAGGGTGTAGAGCAAAAGTTCAAACAAGCAGACATTTTTTTCTAATGTCCAAACAGTTCCTGATTGTATCATAGGCTACTTATTTCAAAAATGGTAATTATTATAAGTGACTTACCATATATTCCATGTTTGAGGCTGGGGGAAAAACTTTCCCTCTGACTTTATTATGGTAATCAAGTAAAGCAAGCATATCGTTCTGGGAAATATCACGTTTCCGTCTGGTTTTGGGAAGGTTTGCGGCCTCTGTGAGATATTTTGAAGGCGCAGAGCCAATATCAGTGAAATTGGTTGCTGGCAGAGATGAAGAGGCAGTGGGACTAAAGGCTGCCAGTGCACTTGCTCCACAGGATATACACAAGAGCAGAATGTCGACAGCCAAGCGGTTTTCATTCATGATTGATGGCTGGGATATGGTAAGAGGTTTCTTTTCCTTTTGCAGAATCTGCATGCAAAACATAAATGATTCCCATTTTTTGGAGAATGCCATAAATCGTATTATGCCATTTGAACCTTACTGTACAACAGAGCCAACACTGTAAATGTCATTTTTTATCATTAGAACATCTTTGCTTTAAATTTTTTAGAATAATTTATACCATTTCTACTCAACTGTATGAATAATCAGAGTTTTCAGAACTAATCATCATAAGCCATCAGTAATTAAATTCATATTGGTTGTAAAAGTGCAAAGAACTTAAGAATGCAGGTTGTAACTTTGACACCACATTCATTTTACTTTCATCACTTTTTAAAATACGGCAGCAAATAAATATTTTCAATATTAGTGTCAACATTAGCCGCCAGTGTCATAAACATTACACACACACAACATTTGTCTCTACACTCTACGCATCAGTTTACCAACACACAATCTAAGTAAATAAAAGATTGCTCGTGCACACAAATGTCCCTACCTCTAGATGCTAGAGCAGCCTGTGGATATAAACACTTCTGCCTATTGCCCGAGTCTGTCCAGCAGCAGTTTTGCTTTGATTCTTGGTGAACTTGAGAGCTCTTTCTCTCTCCTTCTCCCTGCTGAGAAGCGCTGCGGGTTTATATACGGATGAGGTACCGGTTCAGGAAGTGTTGCGGCTTTGAAGGTGCGCGGGGTTCCGCCCTATCCGTCACCTGAAGCGTGACATCGTCCGAGACGTATTACTGCATTTCTATTATCCATTTCCTGGCAGATCCAGGCAGGCTTAATCAAAACATCTGCTTTTAGTTTGCACAACTGGCGTGAGTAGAAATGAAAACATAAGATAAGCAAGTGAATAATCCTGTGACCCCAAAATGCAGTTTAGTAGTCTATTGCAATGGCCAATAGGCTATAGAGGCTCCAAATGAACAAATATATGAGTATTAATAAACCAGGGAGTGCTGTAACTGATTTTGTTTAAATGACTGTAACTGCTTTAGTGCTGGATGTCTGAAGTATTAACATAATAGCCCAATATTTATTTACTTCAAATTAAAGTCATTCAGAAATCTAAAATTTATCCCTCAACTGTGTAATTTGTTGTAATTTATGTAAGTACAAAGAGTGTACTAACACCCTTGCAAACTGGTTGTAAAACTAAAACACAGATGGTAACACTCCAAAGAGAAAGGAAAAATTGAAATCGCATCATATGACCCCTTTAATATAACAGTTCAACAGGCAAATGTGTAACAAATAAGGGAAAAAAATCAGTGTTTTATAACAAATCACTTAAGTGAATTATTCAATGACTCATATTTATCACTTCGTTATTGCATGATTCAGTGTTTTTGAACAAACAACTTGAGTGAATGGTTCAATGACTTATTTATATCGCTTGTTTTATTCCTAAATGATTCTGTTTTGAACACATCGCACGAGTGAATAGGCTCGTTTGAGATGAGCAAAATCTGTGCAGAACTAATCACTGGTGATCACCATGAGATGCATGTAGATTATAAATCTGTCCGAGTGTTGTCCGACTTGTTCTGATGTCATGCTGACATGTCAAAAAACTCTCTGCGGCCATGCCAGATTGTGCAGTTGCTCTCCCCCAACTGCACTGATAAAAGGTACGATGGGAAATTACTTGATGATGACACATCTTAATGCTCTTTGGTTTAAACAACTGTGATGTATTGATCTCTTCTAAAATAATTATTATTTATATTAATTATTTGTAGATTACTGGCTGATTTTGGGAACAGAATGAACGAAACTCCATTAACTAACCACTCTAAAGAGGCATTTGCATATTATGACTCACTGGGACCCAATGTGAGATCCACCAATCAGAGAGGTTCCCGAATCTTAATCGATTTTTGAATTGGCTAAAGTTAATAGAGAATATCACTCGAGGCCTAAAATCTAAAATACTAAACTAAAAACAGATGGAAAACACGACTTTCGGATGGAATTAAAAGTACTTTGGGTGTCTTCTTTATTTTCAGATAAAAGCAACAGAACTTATATTACATCCAGTTTATTAACAACAAAGTGCATGAGTGTAAATCATGCAATATGATCTCAAGGTTGTCTGATCCACTACGCAAAGTGAGAACTGTCTGCCTTGACTGTATTTGACGTCTGCCCTCACTATAGCCTCTATTTACGTCTAGGTGAGCTGAAGCCTAATTATTAAATTACTCATTTCTATTACTTGTTTCATTCCTGAATGATTCAGGGTTTTTCAATGAATCGGTTGAATTAATAATTGAAGAATCACTCTTGTAATGCTGCTCGACCAATCAGATTTGAGGACTGTCAGGTAATACAACACAAGTCAATTTGCAACACGCCCTGGATTTCCTTTGTCTTGTTATACCTATCATCCCTAGGCAGTGCATATACATATAGTGCATATACTTGTTATTCTTCCGTTAATCAATCACCCATCATGTCATGCAAAAGCATGCATATCTATTAAAACTGAGTTTGTTTTTATAGACTATAAACTGGTTTAAAGGTCTGTAAGTTAGACTGCACCATAAAGTAGTTACAATACAACAATAGTCTTACACTGCCTTAAATGGTCAAGTAATTAGAACATTCAAGAATAGCTGGGGGAAGTCCAACAGTTTTTATAGTTTAGGTCTATTGCTCTCCACTTTATTTTCTTTGTCTTATTTATAATAATTCATTCAATTGTATAGACTGCACTTGTTTAGCATCGGAGTCAAGCCAATCCAGTATGCCATAGCAGTTGGTGAGCCAAGAGCAAAACCCCCTCAGCAGTTTAATCATTTTCTTTGGCAGTCGGAGGACAAATTAAAGCAACATGACGCAGAAGCAGCCCCATCCTCCACACAAACGCCAGTGGTTTCCAAACTTTTTTGGTAGTGAACTCCTTTCTTCAGGAGCTAGAATTGTGAGAAATTAAACTGACATACAATGTCGTGAGAACTGCTGGATTTTATGGGACAATCTGTGGGAAAATCATAGTGTTAGATCTTCTCCATATGTCTAGATTGGTGTCACAGAATGGTGCGGGAGAGAAGCATGAAGACAAAGAAGATCACGATATACAGTCTTTAATAATCCACACAAGGGTAATCCATCATAGGAGGGTAGCAAACACACGTATCCACAGACGAGACCGGACAGCCAAACACTGAACAGAATGCAACTTATATGGGGAACGTAAATGAGGACAATTACTAGACACAACTGAACATAATGACACAATCAACAGGAGACAGAAACTAGGTCACACAGAGAACATGGGGAATGAAAAACACAAAACATCCATAACGGTGACATTTCGCCCCCCTCCTGGAAGGCGCGACCTCGCGCCGTGGAGAAAAAGGGATGGGACGGAGGGGGACTACGGAGGAGGACAAAGGAGTGGATGTGGGATGGAAAAAGGAGATTAGAGAAGGTTCAGGAGGTGGCCGAATGACCGGGAGGAGGACGAACAACAGAGTCCATGGTGGTGATGACGGAGGGAGGAGCCAT